TAACGGAGTTATGGGGGGTCAAAGGGGTACCTAGAAATTAACGTTTAGGGTTATAACTTTGAAACCACCCTGTATATTTTAATAAAATTTTCGTACGTTGTATTACACATGGAGCTCTACGATTTGATGCTAAAATCAACTTTTTGCTATTATCAGGTGTCCAGAAACGGACTGGCCCTATCACAATTTTTCTCAAAATTTTGACAGAAGTAATTTTATCAAACTGATAATATTATTATTAGATACTCTGAAGGTTTTTCTTTAAAAATGGTACTCTTTATTTATTTCGAAAAAATGAACGGTTTGCGAGATAAATCGGTTTTGAAAAAAATTGGTAACAAATACAACAACAATTAAAATTTATTTTTTTACAATAAAATCATTCCCGCTAGTGCCAGCCTACAGATTCACCATAAACATTTACTGGTGGTGAATTAAGGGAATGAATAATGCCGTTTCTTGTAAAATCAACATCTATGACCAAAATACATCTACAAATTATTATTACTCTTGTCTCCATGGAGTTCTTTTCTATTGTTTTCGTTGTTAGACCCTGTTGATTTTAAAGTACTTGTCAAAGGCGCGTGAGCACATTAGGAAAAAAAATTATAGGAAGGACTAGTTTTATTTTGACCTCCCCTATACACTCCCGAGAGATTAGGAGGTACTTACCGGACACCCTGTATATTAAAAGGAGACGAGTAGTTTCCATTTATATATTTTTTGTAAATGTCACAAGAAATTATTTTTATAACCTGTGAAGTTACAAAGCCCGCTATATACGATACCACATCTTCATATGGCGAAAGGTCAAACATGGTTTTTACGTGATCATGTTCAAATAAAGAAACGACACTTAATGTACCTACTTGTGTTTGGATCACAAACTGGATCAGCTATTTTATTTGAAAAATAATACCTAGGGACAATTTATATCTAAAACCGGCACTGCTTCAATGTGTTCCAAGATCTTAACTAGGTTTGCATTGTATATTTAATAAAATTGATATTTAGCATATATTAGAAAATCAAATTGAATCTGGTACAGTGAATCACGAATCACAGGTTAATATGATTGATATAATTTACTTTTATTATTATTTATATACGTGTTAGTTAAGGTAGATAACTCATTATTTTTTATGTATATTTGTACATAATGTGTATTTTTATATGAATTTTTGTGAAGATGTATCGATTTTAAATTTCAAAAAATGTTTACTATTTTATATAAATAACACACTTGTACTCTCCTTTGGATTCCGTTTTATTGTACCCATTTTATTTTACATTCACTATCTAAATTCTCATGGATTACAATTAACAAGTTGTATAATTAGATATACAAAATAATAATTGGTAATTTTGCTCTGTTTTAAATTTATTAAATTTCATTTGAAATAATCCGCTAAATTTTAGGGCTTGCGCAAAATTGACAAAGTGCAACATATACACTTTTATCCCCCCTTTTCCTCTTTTTGGGAACAAGGTCATTCAATGTAAAAGATATGCAGTGCTTGGTATATGTATAGAAGTATGTGATATGAACGCGCGCCGCGCTAGCGAGGTATTTGAACAAATGACTACTCGAATACTTTCAACAGAATCGAATGCATTCGGGACCTTGGTAGAATCGAATAGTTTTATAATTTACATTCGAATAGTCCCAACACTAAATTCTGAAGTGATACCGTTATCATTGCTAGACATATCCAGTCCAGTATCTCTCTAGCTAGAGTTGATATTGCCCAGAATATTTTCGGTGTCCGTCACTGCTTCGATAATATTTTGTCATTATATCAGCATTGCATTAACGACGTTCACTAATGGCTCCAAAATTATATTATGATCCAGTGAGCCCCTCATCAAGGGCTACCTTAATGTGTGCAAAGGCGATCGGCTTAGATATGGACTTAGTACAAGTTAGTGTTTACAAAGGGGAGCAACACAATCCAGAATTCATAAAGGTAAACACTTTTCAATAATATTGATAACACAGAAGTTTGTTCTATTTAAATTCGAATATTAAGATTATAGACCAGGGTCGATAATTTTTGAAACCAAAAAAAAATATTGTAGGATGAAACCCATTGGAAAAGAAAAAGAATATAACAGAAATTAAAAGAAAAATAATTTACGGGCGATCTGAGGTCGGGAAGGGGAAGGGGGTGAGTTTTTAAGGGTAAAAAACGGTTTCCCTTGATTTCCGGAAAAACTACAAGTCTTATGGAAAAAAGTTAAATGGCAAAGTTGTAGGTAATAAAAAGATCTACAACTTTTGTATTTACACTTTTTTCACATAACCTCAAAATTTATGTGAAAAATTCAAATAACCAAGTTTTTGGTTTTTTATTTTTATCTTTTACAAACAAATTTTTTTTTCACGAAATTTGGTGAAAACTTACCTATTTATGTCCCAAACACGCTGTAATTTTTTTGATTTGAAATATTTATTTTTTCACCTTATTTTTACTTAATATCGAAAAAGCACCCTAATTTTCAATCGAAAATTCTCACGTCAAAATATCTGCTTTTTTAAAAACGTCGGTGGGCTTTTTCTTCGTTGAAATCTCTACTTTCTGATGGTGTAAAAAAATATATACATTACTATGGTAAGTTTTCTCAGGAAATGCAAAGAAACGAACTAGAATCCGAAAATTTTTTTCTAATCATTATGTACAATTTTGAGCTATTTATTAAAATTTACACTTTAATTACTCGAAAAACGTAAGATTCCATGTTACATTGATAAACAAAAAAATTACAAGTCGAAATATACTATTATAATTAACAACCAAATAAGTTAATAAAGTTAATATTTAATAAGACATCTACAATATTTTGAGAAAGTTGTAGAATCTTCTTTCGTTTCTTTGCATTTCCTGAGAAAACTTACCATAGTAATATATATTTTTTTACACCATCAGAAAGTAGAGATTTCAACGAAGAAAAAGCCCACCGACGTTTTTAAAAAAGCAGATATTTTGACGTGAGAATTTTCGATTGAAAATTAGGGTGCTTTTTCGATATTAAGTAAAAATCCAAAAAATTACAGCGTTTTTGGGACATAAATAGGTAAGTTTTCACCAAATTTCGTGAAAAAAAAATTTTTTTGTAAAAGAAAAATAAAAAACCAAAAACTTCATTTGAATTTTTCACATAAATTTTGAGGTTATGTGAAAAAAGTGTAAATAGAAAAGTTGTAGATCTTTTTATTACCTACAACTTTGCCACTCAATTTTTTTCCATAAGACTAGTAGTTTTTCCGGAAATCAAGATAAACCGTTTTTTACCCTTAAAAACTCACCCCCTTCCCCTTCCCGACCTCAGATCGCCCGGAAATTATTTTCCCTTTCATTTCTATTATATTCTCTTCCTTTTCCAATGGGTTTCATCCTACTATAGTTTTTTTTCACTTTTTACCATTTTTGAAGGCTTAAGCACTGGTCTATTATTAGATTCAAGGTAATGTTCTACTACCTTATAATTTTTAATTTTTGTATTTTGCAAAGAGTACTTAGAAAAACAATTGTATGTTGCATTTGGGATTCGACAGATGTCAAATATGTGTTTTCTTTAAACAAAATAACATGTACATTTTTGCATATGGGATGGAACGTTTTCTTAGGATTGCAATAATGTAAGGTTATATACTTCTCTTTCCAAAATAAAGGAGATATTGCAAAAAGGGTATATGCTATGAATCATTTCTTTATGTTAACAATAACTGGAATAAATTCGGTATGTTATGGACCAGGTGATTAATGCGGGGATTATTAATAATGTGCGAGCATTATGAATAATGTCTAGTTCTATCGCGCTAAGTGATTAATTACTATCTAAACTTCATTATTTATCACATTGCACAGTCATTATTATATTGCTACGTGACAATTGGGCAATTTGATAAGAAAGCTAAATTTTACACGGTGCGGGGAGGGAAGCACGCGTGACACGCTTTGACCAATCAGAGAGCGCCATTCACCGTGCGGCTCGTGCGGCGGACTTCAAACGCACTTCAAACTTGTTTTTGTTTAGTTTTGCATTGTAAGCGAATACGGACGGAGTTAGTGTGTGTTTTAGTAATTAATCATGGATATTTAGAAAACTATTAGATGCTAATTATGCCAAATAATGAGTCTGATTGCTTAAATTTTAGTTTATTTTATGTTTTATAATAATGTCAAAACTTCTATAAAACTATATGTTGTGAAATGTTTGTTTTAAATGTTATATGTTTTGTGTTACCTATATTTTTAATATGACTTTCCTTAAGTTTTAAATGCAGAAACTAGTGGATTCATAATGTAGAAGTCCTTGCTAATTAATCCAAATAATGAGTCTGATTATTTAAATTGTTTAACATTTAGTTAATTTTAAGTTAAATGACAATAATAATAAAAAAATAGTAATTAAATATGTTTGTATTACTCTGCCCAAAAGGTCATGGACAATATGTATAATGCCCGGTCAATTTGAATATTTGAATAATTATTATCAAATTGCACACTCATTGGGCATTTTACATAATGACCGGGCATTATGTATAATGCCCGATTTATCACTTGGTCCATAACAGGTATATCAATTGCAATGTACAAAGTGTTTTAGGAATATCGTCCGTGAGGATTGATAAAAAATTTTTACCAGTACAATGAACTAATAATTCAAATTAATCCAATTTTTTACACTTTTATATTCAAACCAGTTTATATACAGAGGGTACTTGAAACAAAAAAGTCGAGTAAGATTTTCTAGGCTCTTATTTTAAAAATATGTACGGTTGTAATATAGCATTTATATCCAACTAATTATTTTTTAAATGGTGGAGGCGCAACTCGATGTGCACTATGGCATAAAATCACAAATAATTCCTAAACTGTTAATTTTACCGAGTTGAACCACGAGGCTATTATCGTTGGCAAATTCCTCAGGGAACTTATTTTTTATGCAGGCAGATTGCGATCGTCATCTATGCAAAAATTCTGAGTTGTTAACCATTGGGCATAGTCCGTCCCTGGCGTTCTGGGCATAATGAAGTTTAACTTACAACATAAAAAGCTGTACGCGTGTGTTATCGATCAATAAATTTGCATCATGCTGAAGTTAATAGTTTAGAGACTTTAAATAAAAATAACTTTTTAATTTTCACCTTTGAGGACCCGTAACTTGTTAACGAAGGCCCGTGTGAAAAAAATTTATATGAATAACTGATATTATTTTGACCTCATGTATTTTTACTCGACTTTTTTGTATCAAGTACCGGTACACCCTGTATATTCTTCGATATCGAATATACCGGGAGTATTTTTTAATCTGAAACTGTCAAATATCTCGAGAAATAAGCACTCTACGAGGGGGAACTAATTTTAACTAATGTATTGTCCCCGCGGAACTATTAAATTTTGATAATTGACATTTTTTACGTAGGGTACTCTAGATATTTGAATTTCAGATTAAAAAATACAATCGGTATAGTAAAGCACCTTCTTAGATTTAAGACAATGATTACCTGCGTCGACCCAAGTTCAGTCACCGCTCAACATAAAATTCAGCAGAGGTATTGTACAGCAAATAAATTTATTTATTTATTTTTTATCTACTCATTTTGTTGTAAACAACATAGGTTGTATAACAATAGTCAATTAACAACTACACTTAACCTAAAGTACAGCAGGAAAAAAAATCAGAAAAAGTGTATTAAAAATGTTTTCAGTTTTTGTTTAAATAGGAATAATTCGGTCGGATGATCATAGCCGCCGTGTCGGCATTTCGCTACAGCGGACCGGATGACGCCGGTAATAACGGCAGTTATTGACTTTGCGTTTGCTTCGTGTATACGAGTTTTATAATGTCCAATGCGCCAAGGGGTGAAAAACGACCTTTATCAAATTTTTAAGCAAATTTTTTTATTTTTATTTATACCTACCTATTTATTTATTTGTTTACGCCTATGTGAAAACAAAACTAATTAAATTAAAGTGCCTATGTTCAGGACTATCAATTTTAATTAATAAGTAAGTAGTTAGGTATCTAACTACCCAAAGAAAACAAACACGAAACAAAAATGCGACTATGAAGTTTTAAATGATTCACAATAAGAAAAAAACAAATTATTAAAACTCAATGAAATAAAAGTATGTTTGCAAGTATCTATGTATGTTCCGACTACCTAAAGACAACAAATACAAAACAAAAATGCGACTTTAAAATATCGAACGCAATTATAACTTTCCAACAACACCCAGAAAGAAAACACTGTCGTCAGTCGTCACCTCCATTCGCTCCAAGACAGTTTATTAAAGGATCACGCGCGCGTTATCGTTCGGCTTATTAGCTAAACAGTAGGCAAGACGGTGCGGGGAGAGGATTGGCGATCGCATCAAACGAAGGAGGCGCTTAAATTTTATTCTTGCGTTATTTTCGAACGTAATGGCAAACATATTGTTTTCTATATCTTAAAAAGGTAAAAATCCAATCTAAAGCAGAACCACGTTTATCATAATAATTATACATTTTTTGTAGTATGTTATCATTAGGTCGGTATAAATTTATAAATAATAATTTCTAATTGTTATTATATCACCTAATTATTAAATCATGATATTAGGCACAATAATTGTACGCAATTAATGCTTTTAGTATTATATTTTTGTATTCTTTCAGTTAAATCCCCTGCACAGTGTACCTACACTGGATGACAATGGTTTTGTACTATATGACAGCCATGCAATTATGGCATACCTGGTAGGAAAATACGCTAAAGATAAGTCACTATATCCGGAGGATTTGCGAAGAAGAGCAATTATTGATCAAAGACTTCATTTTGACTCTGGTGTTCTCTTCGCTAGACATGCCTGCGCTGTGGTAAGATTATGTTGACATCTAACATACCAACTATAGAATCTTGAATAATACTGGATAAATTAGTATCCAGAAAGGCTTTTAAAATATGAATAATATATTTTGAAGAATACAGAAAACATTCATATTCTGAAAAATGTTATATCATTGTTTAAAAATACCGGAAAACAATTTAGAACCAGCCTGTTACATTGATTCATACAATACAGTGTATTCCACTTGGAATCGCCGCGATCGATATCTGGAAAAGTACTTATTTAAAAATTTGAAAATTTGGCAACTTATCAAAGTCAGTGGGGAAACACAACTAAAATATTTTCAAGGTCATACCCTTATACTGGAAGTCGACGCCATCTTCGTTATTTTAAATGGAACACCCTATATATTTTTGCCGTTTAGGATTCTACTAAAATTTTAAGGTCACTTTGTATAACAAGCGTAGTCCTAAAATGTATAATTTTTGACATATTGACATTTTTATGAAAAATTTGACAGATGCAAGGTTGTGCGGGATCCTTTGTATTTTATTCCAGCAATTAGTTATCAATTTCAGATTCAGTATGTGAATAGAACCCGTATGGAACAACCTAACAGAATATCCATAAATTAGAAAATCTGATACCGAGTGTTTAATTTTCGACTGTACATATTGATAACTTCAAACAGTTATAACTTTGTTAACTTAAATGGAACACTCAGTATTTTTTTTGGCCCATCTTGTGCAGAAATTAATTATCTTTTCAACATAATTATTTCTATCAATATTTTATTTATTCAAATATATATACAGGGTGTCCCGAAATTCATGCAACACAATTTGGTCACAGATTTTTAAGACAAATTTAGGGGACCCGTATTTTTTATTTTTGCCAGGTGGCCCCCTCTTTCGGAGATACAGCCTCCCAAAATCCGCCCCTAAGGATAATCTTTTTTTTATATCTCAAAACCCTGTTGTACGAGAGTCACTAAATTTGGTACCTCGGGGTTTTATGACATGTGGAATCTGATGGTGCTACGTTTTTTTGCGGGGAATCACCTTAAGACAATTTTTCGTGGGCCCCCTTGTCTTTGGAGCCAAAAAAATTTGGTTACATACTTAAATTTCTTAAAAATTGTCAGTCCACGAGAAAGTCATTAAATTTATAAACTTTTTATGTCTTTATACTTTTTTCGTAAAACGCAATGTTTTCGAGAAAAATGTCAAGAGACAAAAAAAGTTTCTAAATTCAATGCCAGCTAACTAATAATTAAAAAAAAAATCAAATTTGCTACCAAATTTTTATGGTTCCAAAGACAAGGGGGCCACGAAAAAGTGTCTTAAGGGAGTTTCTCGCGAAAAAGCGTAGCACTGTGAGATTCCACATGTTATAAAACCTCTGTGTACCAAATTTAGTGATTCTCGTACAACATGGTTATGAGATATGAAAAAGACTTCTTATTGGTAGATTTCAGGGGGATGTAACTCCAAAAGAGGGCGCAAGTTGTCAAAAAGAAAAAATACGGGTCCCCTAAATTTGTTTTAAGAATCTATGACCAAATTTGGTTGCATGAATTTCGGAACACCCTGTATTTAAGCTATAAGAGAAAAAGAACTGCAAGAAAAGGAAAATAATTTAGTTCAATCTGAATTATTTCATTTAATACATTCGTTTAAAATTTTAGAGAATTTTTAAAGAATTTTTAATAAATTTTCATTATAGAAAAAAATAGTTTTCTTTCAAGTATAGTAAATATGTATTTGTAAATAGTATCAAAAATATATACTGGGAATATTTTCAATTATGACATTTGAATTACAAGAAGAGATAGAGACAAGATTATTAAATTAGGAAAATTATAACCAGTTGTATGGATGAGATATGCAATTACAAAAAAAATATTTTTCTAATCCTCCATAGTTTTATAGTAATAGGTAAATAATAAAAACTTTCAAATGTAGTAGTTATACTGAGATGAATCAAATAGGGACATAAAATAAATAGGACAGATAGGACACAAATCCAATTTGAAGACAATAAATATAAATCAAATGAAGAAATGACCACTATTATTATTATAAAATAACAACATATTTAATAAAAGTTGAAGTGGATTGATATGTGAATAAAATAGAACAATAAAATACAAGGTCTTCCACTTAAAAAATTTTAGAAAATTAAGTTTGAACTTTCTTAAAATGATCGTATTATAAAAAATGCCCTGTATAAAATATCGGTATTATAATATTAATATTATAGTCTAATATTGGAGTCTTTGCCTAACATTTGCCTATAACTCTGACAAATATTTTTGCTCCAAGTGTTAGTAGTTGCAAAGTTAATATAACTTCTTCCAGGTCATGTTTTTTCCAAAATTCGAAGAATTTTCTACATAACTTGGCAACCCCGCACTAAAACATTAAAGTGTTTATATTGCCATATATAGAATTTTCTCAGAAATCCATATGTCTAAAAATATACAGGGTATTCCATTTAAAAAATGTAATATTACTAATATTTGGCGTGTCCCGTTTTCATTCATCGCCCTATGTGTTTCAAATTAATTTTATCCTTTAGGTTTTTTGATTCTGTACAACTTTTATATACACTTTTTTTCTGTATTATTACAAGAGATTCAGCCCTATGCTGTAAAAACATTGAAATTAATATCAACCTTGAAGTGATTTCAATGAAAATTGATTTGTTCTTCAATTTTGGAGATACCGGTAATTATGGAAACAATCTATATGGACAGAAACGGTGACATCAGTCAAAAATTTTATTATAATATTCTTAATCATCAGTTTTGTTATTCTGAATTTATAAATTGCATATAAACGGTAAATATCACAACATAAAATTAACAAAACAATTTCTAGACTTATTTGTTACTTTTAAATATATCCCATCAAAAAAAGCCACCCGTTCGCAATATACAAAATTTTTGGAAATAATTATTGATCAGACGGATATAATAAAATAATAAGAGGAGAAAGCCTGGGAACGTATTTCTCATTATAATCATCCAAATTTTCATATCAAAGGATATACAGGTTATGTAATATTGCACGGGAATAAATTATGTGTGCTACCCTAGCTGGAGCAACAAGAATTGTTGATTAAATTGGTTTGAAGTTTCGTAACGTGAAGGTTTTCGACTTCCGTTACAATTCTTGACATTTGTCAACCTTGATCTGCAGTTTTATATCAATTTCTGCTTTAGTGCATACCAACTTTTGAAGTTTTCAAGGTTACTTGACATCATTTCAAACCCTTGACAAATTTCAATCAATTTGTATTTTACAGCATAGTAAACCTCCATTTTTATTGAAATGTCTGTCTAAATGTCATTTTTTCTTATAATTTCAACCTTGATATGAAGTCAATGTTCATACAGCATAGGGCTGATTATGTGTTGACAAGTTTTTAGCAACTTCTCTATTTTCTATGGGAAAAGTAATATCTTTATTTCCTTCGTTTTAGTTATCCATTCTTAAGGGACAGAAACCAGTTGGTGAAGAACATGTGAAGGCCGTGAACGAAGCGTATGGTTTTATCGAAATTTTCCTGCAACACAATAAATACGTAGCAGGTGACAGTTTGTCCATCGCCGATTTTAGTATACTTACCACTATCTCAAACGCCAATGTTCTGATACCATTTAATGAGAGTACTTATCCTAAACTTACAGCTTGGAGAAACCTACTTAAAATTCTGCCTTATTATGAAATAAATCAAATCGGCTTGGAGGCTTTTATATCTGTTATGAGAAGTAAATTGTCATAGAATGCTATAGTAGTACAAACCTTATAGAAGTAACAACATTCTTAAAATGTAATTATAGAGTAAATTAATATAACATGATTTATATTTCCCTTATTTCAAGTCCTAGGAAGTTTTGTATAGACTATTTGGTATCAATTTTAGATCTCCAAAAACATTTCTGTAAATTATTTAGTTTTTTTTTATAACAGCGTTTTAAAAAAATATGTATTGTTTAATTTAAAGTTATCAAACATGAGCCACTAATTCATCTAAGTAAAAATAAAAACCCGCTTAATTGACTTACAAATATTTTAACCAGTTGCAGAAATACAAGGAGTCAGTGCGCTATAAATCTCAGAACTTTGAAGCCAATGAGTATCTTGCAAATCCGATTAGTCTTTTTTATTACCATTGGAATTTCTAAGTAAAACTATCATTTTGCTCGGAAGAAGAGCCGTTTTATAGTTTTGATATTTTTAAATATATTGAAGAGAGTTTACAAAGCAATAAAAATAATTAAAAAAAACTATTTGCTTCACAAAAGTAATTTGGAACTTACACGAAATTCTGGGGCTTCTAGTAGGTAGTACAGACTTTAGATGTAGCTTCATATAACACGACTTTTGTTTATTAGGTAGATAATAAAACATTGAATATTATTATCATTTATGATGATATAACATCAATCATAAAAAATAAAAAACAATATATATANATATATATATATATATATATATATATATATATATATATATATATATATATATATATATATATATATATATATATATATATATATATATATATATATATATATATATATATATATATATATATATATATATATATATATATATATATATATATATATATATATATATATATATATATATATATATATATATATATATATATATATATATATATATATATATATATATATATATATATATATATATATATATATATATATATATATATATATATATATATATATATATATATATATATATATATATATATATATATATATATATATATATATATATATATATATATATATATATATATATATATATATATATATATATATATATATATATATATATATATATATATATATATATATATATATATATATATATATATATATATATATATATATATATATATATATATATATATATATATATATATATATATATATATATATATATATATATATATATATATATATATATATATATATATATATATATATATATATATATATATATATATATATATATATATATATATATATATATATATATATATATATATATATATATATATATATATATATATATATATATATATATATATATATATATATATATATATATATATATATATATATATATATATATATATATATATATATATATATATATATATATATATATATATATATATATATATATATATATATATATATATATATATATATATATATATATATATATATATATATATATATATATATATATATATATATATATATATATATATATATATATATATATATATATATATATATATATATATATATATATATATATATATATATATATATATATATATATATATATATATATATATATATATATATATATATATATATATATATATATATATATATATATATATATATATATATATATATATATATATATATATATATATATATATATATATATATATATATATATATATATATATATATATATATATATATATATATATATATATATATATATATATATATATATATATATATATATATATATATATATATATATATATATATATATATATATATATATATATATATATATATATATATATATATATATATATATATATATATATATATATATATATATATATATATATATATATATATATATATATATATATATATATATATATATATATATATATATATATATATATATATATATATATATATATATATATATATATATATATATATATATATATATATATATATATATATATATATATATATATATATATATATATATATATATATATATATATATATATATATATATATATATATATATATATATATATATATATATATATATATATATATATATATATATATATATATATATATATATATATATATATATATATATATATATATATATATATATATATATATATATATATATATATATATATATATATATATATATATATATATATATATATATATATATATATATATATATATATATATATATATATATATATATATATATATATTCTCATGTTAAATCACTTGTAAAAGATCTATAACGTGGATTTATGTCAAATAAAGCTATTACCAATAATCTGATATGTTTTATTTACTCAGACTGTAATTAATGTGGCTGTTCACAATGGTCAGGTGGCTGCTATAGTTACAGATTTTACTAAAACGTATGATAAAGTTAAACACGACAGAACTTTATGAAATTGACTTTTCAGGTAATTTACTACAATTAAGTGTCATATTTAAAAAATCGAAAATAGTTTGTCGTATATAGAGGCGAAGAATCTGTCAACTTTTTTACCTTATCACGGGTACCACAGGGGTCCAATTTGGGACTGTTATTGTTGTACCTATTGTAAATGACTTGGCATATGTGGTGTAGTGTTCACACTGTCCAGCTATTCGCAGATTTAAAATTCACAAGACAAGTGAACCATTAATTGTTACTTTTTGAAAAAAAGATTTAGATAATGTATTTTAATAGTCAGGAAACAAACTTCCTTATCTTTTAATGTAGTTTTCCTATTACGTTTTCCTATAAAGTTGATAAAGTCATATGTAACTATAATATAAATAAATCGTTAGTCCATGCTAAAAGCAAAGTTAAAGACTTTGGTATACTGTTGGATTTTTAACTAAACTTTAGTAATTATATAAATGACCATATTATGAGCTTTTCATATGTTGGGCTTCACAATATAAAGTTCATGTCGCTTGCCTAAAGAAAAATTAAAAATTTGTTTATCTAATATTAATTTAGAATATGCATTTAGTTGCCCCTATATAAAGTGTACGAAAATCAAACTGAACAAGTGCAAAAAAAATTCTGAAATGTCCATATTATAGAAAATATTATATTAGCGACTATGACATATTATATGATATTTATTAAGCGAATTTAAGTTTAGAATATTGTAATGTAGAAGTATATATTCATCAGCAATATTTATATTCAATTTGTTTAATGATAAAATTAACTGTATGTTTGTGTTGAACCAATTTAATATATAGACCGGGAGATATTAGACTGAAGTTCGACGACGTCTTTCTCGTTTATGCCTCTGAGAGTACTGAAAGGTAACCGAGAGACAAGTACAATAAACTAAATTTAAAAGATGGGCTGCGGGACACCTTTGTGAAAATTCGATTTTCCTTTTCAAAAAAATAATGTGTACAGCGACGTATTTCTCACTTATGCCATGTTCGTAAGTTGAAGAGATGTATCGATTTTATCACGAAATTTTTTTGGCATAAGTGTCGCAAGAAAATGTGAAAAACATCTTTATTTGTCTATCAATTTCTCATTAATGCAAATTGGTTTCCTTCCGCTTTCATACAATAATAAAATCTTTGCTCCACTTCCGAACGAACATTTTGAAGCGTTTCGGGCGTTTTCTAATGACATTATTCAACAATTTGCCAACGAAGCTCCTCAAGTAAGTTCGGTCGTGTTGCATACATTTTCTACATTAAATGTCCCTATAGAAAAAAGTCTAAGGACGTTAGATCTGGCGAACTGGAAGGCCACCCAATTGAACATCTGCGTCCTATCCAGTGATTTGGAAAATTCTGATTAAGAAAATCACGCACAGCTACGGCGTAATGTGGTGTAGCACCATCCTGCTGAAACTACACATCTTCTTCTGGCAAAGCGTTGTCATTTTCCAATATTTCCACAATCATCAGGTACATATTCGTTTCCAGTAGATTCAGATACATGTTTCCATGCAGATTTCCCGGTAGGAAGATAGGCCCTATCAAAACATTTTTTTTATCGTAAAAGAAACATTTATTTACAGGATATTTTATAAATATGTAAATAAAAATATAAGAGGTGTATAAGGAATAACAGAGAATTAATTATTCGAAGAATTTCTGTGATGTGGAAGGGTTTACTAAGGATTTTCAATATTTTAGGGGGAAATTGCGGGATATATTTCGAAAAAAGTATGTAGGTGTACACTTTTTAGCCAATGCTCCCCTCTGAAATTTATTAAATCACTGAAACATTACATTAATATTTATAGCGCTGCAATTTATAACCAAGCCTGTAATATTTCACGTAACATGAAACTTGCTAAATCGATAAGTTCCTCACTGAAATTTCCGTTACCTTGACTCAAAAGTGTTTGCCATATATCTTGTTAAGTAGATACATTTAATCGCCTTGGAGCTTGTCTCAATATAAGGTGCACTAGGCGTTGATGGATAGCATCCCAATAAGTTTTCCGTGCTATGTGTTGCCTTACAAACTGCTCTTCGGTGAAGGTACGTTCGGATATTCTCAAATATTAATTGTAAATAGGTATCAATTTTTTAATTAGTTATTCTTAGTTAAAAATGAACTGAACTTTTCACACCAACTAGCACATACAGTAGCAAAATCATTGCAAGTTGTGGCTAGGATTCTTATAGAGAATAAGATTCTACTGAACGAGAAAATACTTTATCGACTTTTATGTAGAGTGATCAGAATGTCAAAATTACTATAAATGTGCCATATGCAGTAAATTACAGTATAGACCTGCTGGGAATCGTAAAAACTACTCGCTAACATGTAAATTGCCTTTTACTTTAACTTCTACTGAAATGTCGCTATTAAACTGTAGTTATGACAATGGATTTCACTAAAATGTGGCTTTAAAGTCATTTTCCCAATAATATGAAACAATTACCGTGACTCAGCCAGGTAGTTGTGACTGTAAACTAGTTGTAACTAGTTGGTAACTTGTTGGTGATCTGTACTACAAGAGGATACATTGGAGTAACAGAAAATTTA